AATTGAAGCTATTTACTTTCGTTACCAATAAGTAATTGTTTGACACGTTTTCTTGTCATTCAGTTTGCATTATGATTTTGTTTTGGTAATAATGACATTAATATAGTTTCAGTCCATAACCGCTATTAGTTATGCCTTTATATTAGTTTATTAAAGTTGAAAATGTTGGTTATTATATTTTCCAACTTTAATATATTTTGGGTTTTTAATTTTATTACGTTTTAAAATTTTCCCGAAAAATGTTTTAAAGGCTTGCGGTTTCAGCAATTGCTTTTCCATGTTAAATCTCCTAATTATTATAATATTATGTGATTATTGTGGCTATTCATTGCAATTTCATAATTTTGCAACTTTGAATTCGATAATATTTTTAATTATGGAGTGTAATTTTGAATAACAATTTTGGAAAATGCATATGGTTATGGCAATTGGATATTATTATCCATTTTAGTCTTGCCATAATGATTTAGATTATGATGTTAAGAATTATACTTTGAAATTCATTTGAATTTGCTTGTCCAAAACTAATGTGGTAATAATGATGATATTATTTAACATTTAATAATAATTATTATTAATATTAAATGTTGTTCGGTTACGATTAAGAAAATTGATTATTCCGTTATTACCGTTATGTAATAATTACAGTAATAACGATTATCAGTTTTGAATTGAGGAATCAATATGTCGTAACATTGTTATCATTATTGTTTTTGGATTGTTGATGCCCACTTTGATTGAGTATGGATGTTTGATTTTATATTCATATTTTTAAGTTTGTTTTATGCATATAATTAAATTAAGTGCATAATATTATGGTTTAAATTATGCAATTTAGTTTGTGAGAATTTAATTTGTAAATGTCAACATATCGTATGGTTTTGATATGGTTAGAATTTACAATTTTAAACTAGTTCTCATAAAGTTTACTATATGCATTGAATCTTTTTTGTATTGGGCCTAAAAGCTAAAACTTTTCAATAATTGAAAAGTATAGGGTTATTATAAATTATTATTCAAATTTTATAATCCCTAAAGTTTTGGATTTATGTTGTTATTTGAATAATAGTTTTATAGCTCATTTTAAATTGTTATTATGGTGCACAATTTATTTGGATATAAGCATATTGAATTTCACATATGATCGTTCACTAGCATAACATTATATTATGCCTTTGGAATTGCATAAGTTAGGAATTATAATAATTCCTTGTTAGCGTGAACTTTGTGTATGGAATTATATACGGTAGTGCATTATGTTTAAGCACCTTTAGACCGTCTAAATTGTTCACCTAAGATCAAATCTTTCCATATGTGAACTATTAAAGACTTGGAAAGATTATTTGTCAATTATGCCTTTAGTGTGAGAAAACATAAACCGGTGAAAAGTTTCTCGGAAAGTGGGCAATGTGCTACTAGTTTCCTTTAAACATTACTCTGTCTAAGAAGTTGGTTATTCTTAATGAGGCTCTGTCCCAACCAACTTTCCTGGGAGTACACTTGGAATTGCTTATAATATTGTTGCATAATTGTTTTTAGGCTTTAAAGTTGATGACTAAGATATTAAGAAAATTGTCTAGTGATCTTATAATTTTGATTAATTAAGTAGTAGCCACGATATCTTTGATTAATTGAAATTTTGTGAGATCACATACAGTCATAGACGTATTGATTGTGATTAATTATATGATATAATAAAATTTAGCACACAGGCAATTTTGTTATGTTTATATAATTAATTAGGGTAAAAACACCAAACTATGATCATAATTTAGCCCACAGGTAATTATGCATCGGAATATAGTTTTGGTGAGTTTTATCATTACAGATAGGAAAGTCAATTTATTTAACATATGGTTTTAATATAAATAAATTGGCGTCTTCTATCATAAAGTTATGATATATGTACATATTCAAAGGTATTTTTATGTGTACATTTTGTGGTATTAGTTTAGTTTCTTTTATGTGTATTTATTATGTATGGAAGAAATTTGGATTAATAGCTTTGGTACATTAATATTCTTTTGTGTACAGATATCAAGTGATCAATACAATTTCATAACTGAAATCATTAAGTTATTTTGATCACTTTGTGACTAATTACATGAAGTATAATAAAATCTACCCACATGAATTTTATTATATTAATGTAAATAGTCAAGATAAAATATTAAATCATATTTCTTAATTTACCCACATGGATTAAGAAAAGGAACATGGTTTGACAGTTTTATCATAAGTTGTAGATGGATCTAATTGAATAAAACTTTAGCCCACAAGCAAGTTTTATGTCACTAGATTATTCTATCCCCTTTGATAATAATTTTATCGTAAAGTTTTAGTTGAGTCTAATTGAACAAAACTTTAGCCCACAGGCAAGTTTTGTGTCATTAGATTCTCCTATTTGATTATCATAAAATCTCAGTTGAGTCTAATTGAATAAATCTTTAGCCTACAGGCAAGTTTTATGTCACTAGATTCTTATGTTTAAATTGATGATCAAGATAAAATTTTATCATACCAATTTTAGAATTTATAACTTTAAGGCCAGTTATAATTCTATGTGTATATCATTTATGCTCAAGAATAACTTATTTAGTGGGAGTAATGGTTTGATCAGTGGGAGTGATCATTTAAAAGATCAATAAGATGTCCCATTTGATCAGTGGGAGTGATCATTTCGAAAGATCATTAAAGATGTCTCACTTCAAGATTGCTCCACTTCAAGGATAAGACACCTTGCTTTGTTATTATAAAATCAATAGTTCAATTTGTTGAGCTAGCTACAAGTTGTGCAACATATTTCTGAAAATGTTGTAACAACATTAATAGTTTTTATTATAACAATGGCATTAAGTTTATGGTGAACTATCACGAGTTAGATTCTTTAGCATTTATTGGAGTCGTTCGTCTCATCAAATTGATCCTGGGCCATTAAGATTTAAAAGGTTCAAGATTCAATGTTGACAGACATAAAGCATGCAAAGAGTCATGATGTTGGTTCATATGGATGAATCTTGAGGATTTGTTTCCTATTTCCTTAAGTTTATACTTGCACCAAGTGGGAGAATGTAAACAATATTTTCCATTAAGTCATATTATTGTGGTGCAAGTTTAAATAGGGCACTTTATGGCTACTTAGTGGTAGCATTAATGTTGTAACGGAAATAACAGTTTCCGTTACAAAGCCTATATTGATGGCATATAAGGCTATATAAGTATAGGTCCTCCTACTGCTCTGGAACACCTGAAACACACCATCTATACTGTCCGGAGACCAAGTGTTTGGGCGAAGACAATGCGTTCCCAGGAAATATGAGTTAATTGGCAAACGCATTGTTCTTGGTTGCAGTGGATTGCCACTAGCAGTTGTTGTGATTGCTGGACTTTTGGCAACAGCAAAAGAGTCTCTAGAAATATGGAAAGATGTTGCGGAAACTTTGGATAGAGTTGATACATATGATTAAAACAACAGAATTTCAAAAATACTTTCATTGGGCTACAACTACTTACCTAGTCACTTGAAAGCTTGCTTTCATTATTTTGGTGTCTTTCCTGAAGACAACTTCATTCCTGTTAAGAGACTAATCAACTTATGGGTTGCAGGGGGATTTTTAATGCCACATAAAAATATGAGTTTGGAAGAAGTGGCAGAGAGTTACTTGGATGATCTCATTAATAGAAATCTAGTTCAAGTTATTGAGCTGAGTATTGACAGCAAAGTTAAATCATGTAAGGTTCATGATCGAGTGCATGAGGTTTGTGTGAGAGAAGCAATAAAGGGGAATGCTTTGTGCATTATCAATGACAATCATGCTCCAAAGTCTAGTCGTTCGTTAAGCTGTCAAACAAGTTATTGGCCAGTCAATCAAGCGAGTTATGGGAATTGCACTCCTGATAAAATCCATTCCATTCTCTGCTTTAGTAAAGATGTACAACATTCAAAATGTAGGTTGGTATACCCATGTTTGAAATTGCTAAGAGTATTGGATTTATCATTAGTTAGATGGTCACAATGCCTATCTAGTGAAATAACGAATTTGGTTCATTTGAGATACTTGGCTTTAAGTACCATTGGTTCTCTTTACAAGCTCCAATTTTTCAAGCTTAAAAATTTTCAAACTGTCATAGTTACTTCGTGGATCAAAAAATGTCCTTTGCACCTGCCATGTGATATTTTGGGTTTGCCATGATTGAGGCATTTGCATGTTGACAAGAGATGTTCACAGTATCTCCCTTGCTTAGTAAAAAACAATCTACAAACTCTTTATTGGTTGAAAGTTGCTAGCTCCGACAAAAAACCAAACTTCAGAATGGTTCCAAACCTAAAGGAACTTGGGATTTACGTTGAAGGCCAACTGGCCCCTAGCTATCTAGGGAGCCTTGTGTATTTACATCTACTTGAGAAGCTGAAGTTTGAAGTAGGAAGAGTTGAGCGCTTTTATCTTCCAATTGGTTTTCCGCCAAACCTTAAGAAGTTGACACTTTGTTATACTTATCTTCCGTGGGAAGAGATGGACACAATTGGCAAGTTGCCGCACCTTGAGGTGCTTAAACTAAAAGATTTCGCGTTCTGTGGCTCAAAGTGGGAACAATCAGAGCAGTGCTTTTGGGAATTAAAGGCACTTCTCATTTCACGTTCAGATCTCAAATATTGGAATGCAAATTCTAATCATTTCCCAGTTTTGGAGCACCTGGTCTTAAGATATTGTTGGGAATTGAAACAAGTTCCAATTAGTTTTGCATATATTGGAACACTGAAGTTGATTGTGTTAGAATGTTGTTATTCTTCTCTTGTGACTTCTGCAATGCAGATTTCCTCTGCAAAGAAGTTATTGCTTGAAGGAACGACAGATTGTCCACTTCATGTTCGTGAAGTTAGAACTAAGGTTTCTCTCTAATTCTTGTTCATTATTTCAAAATATTAGTTTACTGCCTTCTAATTCCATGTATTAATTTAATTAATTATTTATTTTTGTACTCATTTTCAATTACGTTTCAAGGTTGAATTGCCAAATAATGAAAGCTTTGAAGAAGAAAATGTAGTAAACTCTGAAGAAGAAAATGTGGAAAGTGTGAAAAGTTCTGAAGAAGAAAATGTGAAAAGCTCTAAAGAAGAATGCGTGAGAAGCTCGATGGTTTCTCTCTAATTCATTTTCTTTATTTCAAAATATTAGTTTTCTACCTTCTCATTCCATGTATTAATTAATATAATTATTTATTTTTGTACTCATTTTCAATTACTTTTCAAGGTTGAATTGCCATATAATGAAAGCTTTGAAGAAGAAATTGTAGTAAACTCTGAAGAAGAAAATGTGGAAAGTGTGAAAAGTTCTGAAGAAGAAAATGTGAAAAGGTCTACAGAAGAATTCGTAAGAAGCTTGATGGTTTCTCTCTAATTCATTTTCATTATTTCAGAATATTAGTTTTCTACCTTCTTATTCCATGTATTAATTAAGATAATTATTTATTATTTATTTTTGTACTCATTTTCAATTTCTTTTCAAGGTTGAATTGCCATATATTAAAAGCTCTGAAGAACAAAGTGTGGAATGCTCTAAAGAAGAAAGCGTGGGAATATATAAAGAATTAAGTGTTGGAAGCTCTGATCAAGAAAGGTTGAAACATCGGAAGAGAGTGATGAAAAATCTGAAGAAGAAGGTGTCGAAATCCCTGAATGCATTCAAAGATTTGAAGAGGAAAGTGCTAAGAAGAAAGTGAGTTAGGAATTTTTAAATTTTGGGCTTATTATAAACTTATGATCCAAAGCCAAGGTATGTATGTATATACCTATGAAACTTGTGGTTAAACTCCATATTATCTTTTGCAATTGTCTGCTACAATTCAACTGTGTATGTTATGATGTTTTTCTGTTCCAATGACACCATGTCCCAGTTGTAACAATCCATTGTTCAATTCAGTATTTCTTTTACAACATATTGAAATGCTTAGCTTTTTGGTGCCAATGAAACCTGCGGCATATATTCATGAGTGATCCTTAAACTTGGAGCTGAGGTTCTCTCACCTATTGGAGTCCTCATTGTACTAGCATTTTGGGATGGACTCTTCTTTTAGATCGACTTGAGTGCTTATATAGTCCAGATTACCTTATTTTAAAGAGCAGACGAATATAAGACAATAACTAATCATTTGAATTTGAATGTTGAAAAATAAACTTAAATAATGCTGAATTGTGTTGTCTCAAGGTAAGTACCAATTTATTTTTATTATTTTGTTCTCATTTTTCAAAATAATGAAATCTCTGAAGATTAAAGTGTGCAAAGCTCCGAAGAATAATGTGTTGAAAGCTCTAATCATGAAAAAGGGCTGAAAGCTCGGAAAAGTGTGGTGAAGAAGAAGGTGTTGAAAGCTCAAAGGAAAGTGTGGAGAGCTCTAAGAAGAAAGTGATAGAGGAGGAAGAGGCTATTCTATTGCAATGCAATATCAACATAGTAGTTGGGTATAAACATAATTGTACTTTCATTTCATCCGAAGAGGATGCTATTCTATTGCAATCGAATTTGAACTGCACTTTATCTTTCAGCTTGTAGGCTCATGATTGAAGTTAATCATTGCCGACATCTACTGTTTGGTTTCATCGAGTTCAGAACAGGCAAAAATGTTGCAGGCAGTCCATAAATATATCCACTTTTCCAGTCCAATCCAGATTGGTGTTCATCATTCTCTTTTGGTTGATTGAAGGTGCTTATCATCTCGCTTTCAGGGGGAAAGAAACTTACACAAACAGAAAAGGTCTTTTGCTTCAGTTCCCAGTGGATTCTTCAAGCACAGCTCAATGGTTCATCAAAATGTTGTATTTTTTGCTAAGTTGAACTCATCAAATTGATTTGTATCTTAAAAATGCTTATTATGAGAATGAGATATTTTTACATTCTGAGGTTGTAGCATTTCCTTGAACTATATATATATATATATATATATATATATATATATATATATATATATACACTAGTATTTGTCTCGTGCGATGCACGGAAAATATGTTATAAAAATACACACTATATGAGGTTTATTCATATATAAAATTTTTGTTATTTAATAATTATTATGTGTGAATTCCTATGATAAAATTATGAACATAAATATATTTACAATTAAAATAATATTTAAGGTGGGTGATTACTACAAATCTTAAACTATATTAAAAATTTAGTACATAGTATTTAATATTATAAATTTTTTAAGAACTTAGTAAACTACAATAGTAATTGAATTACAATTTTAGAGTCACCACGGATCAAAACTTTTAGACCTTTGAGATTTCTAACTCTAGATGTAGCAACATACAATTGACCTTTAAAGACCAAAATCACAATCTTAGTTAGAACATTGATTTTTTCTTCCAAATACTATCGAATTAAGTGTGTAATCAATAAAAGATGAGAACTAATAATTCGAGAATATAATCTTAATGTTACTAAGCCTACTTCACGTCAATTAAGTTGGAGAGTGTTGTTGGATAGTATCCGATGAATCCACGAATAACGCATCTTTGTCTCCGTAGTCCTCAATATGCACATCAACAATCTTAAATATTAAGCCACATAGCTATGCTATATATTAATTTCAAACTTATGGACTTTGGGGTTGCATGCATGCTTCTTAAAGCCATATGGCTTTAAGATGTGAAAATTAAATGTTGCATTTAATTTTCACATCTTAAAGTAATTTTCACATCTTAAAGTCATATGGTCTTGTGAAAATTAAATGCAACATTCAATTTTCACAAGGCCATATAGCTTTATTATATAATATAGGATATGATATATATAGGGAAGGGATCAGGTGCATTTGTGGCTTCCCGTGCGGACGTGTGGTGGATTAATGTGCGTGAGGTTTATACTTAATGTGCGTGAGTGTTGTGCTTAATGTGCCTGAGATTTGTACTTAATGTGCGTGATGTTAATATGCGTGAGTTTTGTACTTAATGTGCCTGAGTATTGTGTTTAATGTGCATGAGATTTGTGCTTAATGTGCGTGAGTATTTCAGAATTACGAGCTCAGAAGGAAGCAGAACAGAAACTCACGCACATTAACGCCCAAGCTTCTTGTTAGTTCTTCCTTCAATTTGGCCATGGATTCTGGATTATCAGCTACCTTCAGTGCAGTTGAATGTTTATATAGATGACGCACGCACAGTAAAATTTGCACAGCAGTTAAGTGTGGATTTCTGTTGTATTATTCCCATAATTCTTAACCACCATAGCCCGCCTCCGCATCATCATCATCAGGGAGGCGGCAATGGCTACTGGAATGGGGAAGAAGCTGACATCTATATTTTCTGCTGCATTTTACACATTCACGCACATTAAGTACAAATCTCAGGCACATTAAGCACAACACTCACGCACATTGAGTACAAATCTCACGCACATTAATCCACCGCACATCCGCACGAGAACCTTTCACTATATATATATATATATATATATATATATATATATATATATATATATATATATATATATATATATATATATATATATAGGGTGGCCTTCAAGTAGGAACCACTCAATAGGTGAGAACATAAGAACCCATCCCAGCCTTTGAATCTAAGTCAATTAATCATTAATATAAAAGATTCAAAAGGTTATAAGGGTAATTTTAGCCCCCTAATAATTTTGACTTAAATAATAAAATTGATTACATCCCTAGAATTTAGGTCAACAAGAAGGAATTCACTGGGACTCTAATTCAACGATTCACTAGGACTCTAATTCAACGATCTCCACATCCGCTCCAGGGCTACTCACGACAGTCGCCTGCGAATTATGGATAGCAGAGTGAATCCGACACCGGCAAACTACGTGAAACGACCAAGAAACTCACCGGAGAGAATGGCGGCAACAAACAACAACGAAAGTAAGTCCACTGAAACCCCATTACGGTGTTTGTCATCCGATTGTGGAATTCAATTGAATTCCTTGGTGATTCGCCATTCGTTAGTCTGGGTCTGGCGAATTCCATGGTGGAAGTTTTTGGAGGAGTACTGACGGCTCAGTCATGGCATCCTAAGTGCATACATCGAGGTGTGCCGTCATGGCAAACACACACAGTAGTTCTGCTTAGTATGGCACACACTGCGATACCCAAGTGCACAGCGCCTCCTGTCACAACCACCTGAGTTGTGTGCACACAATAGTACAATTTAGGAATGGGCACACACGAAAATCAGATCTACGATGAATGTATGTGCCCTTCTACACATCCCACACTCTAAGGCAGGTTTACCGTGTGTGCACCTAGGTGGTAAGTTATGTGCCAAACAAGTCACTAGTACGCGTGCACGTAGGACCATATGTTTGTGCCATTTACCTTAACTATATATTATGGTGACATAACGAGTGCAAAGCTTCTCAAGTCATAACGGCTCATTAGGGAGTTCATCCAGGTGTTCAATGGAAAACGCCTTTATCGTTGGAACTTCAAGCAGGGGCGACATATACTGAGAAAGGGAGTGTTGGACTTGCAACAAATACGGACACCGTAATAGCCGCAACTGTCTACTCCACCAGAAGCCAACATTATACAACATTCTTTGTATGGAGTAAGACATCGATTTTCAAAAAGATCACTTTTTCCATCATTGTATGATGGACTTCCCTGAAAAACATTGGTGCGCGTGTAAACGAGGTGCTCTACCAACTGAGCTATAGGCCTTAGTGCTTGTGATATCTATTTTATCATGTAGATAATTTCTTGTCAAGATGAATATTCTATTCTATGATCTAACATCAAGAATCTTTGATCTTTTTGAGTGGTATTGCTTATATGGAATATGCTATTTATAATCCATTGATGGGTTCCATTTTGTTCTATTTGAGATGATAAAAGACCTACTTAACTCAGTGGTTAGAGTACCGCTTTCATACGGCGGGAGTCATTGATTCAAATCCAATAGTAGGTAGAACTTATTAGATACCTGAGTCAATGGTATCTAATAAGTTTTTGACTCACCATTATTGTATTGATATTTTTTTTTGAATTTGTTTCTTTTCGATTTCATTTATTATTACAACATTATAGTTATTCACACATTCTTTATTATGCTATTTGTAAATGAATAATTGAATGAAAACTTGATTATACAGGCTAATAAATATATTTTTGAGTTAAATTGTGAGCATCTAACTGGTGTAGGTTGTGCGTTTTGCAAAAAAACACAGTACATATTAGTGTGCACCCTGGTTAATATGAGTGTGCCATTATGTGATGAATCAGTGTGCACTTCGGCTTACCTGTGTGTGAAATAAAGTGAAGTAATAGTGTGGCGATGAACAACAGGTCAGCAGTGCACATTGGTTTATCTGTGCGTGAAAAACTTCTTGTTCAAAACATCTTTAAAAACCCGGTAGATGTTCTACCATTCAATGTGCACTTTTGTTGAAATTGTTGTGCCTTTACATCCAGACCGTGAGCGGCTCTTCAGGTTACTCCGAAGTTGGTGTGCACCCTGGTTATGCTTTTTGTGCAAATGTGTGCAATGTTACCGGCTGATTGAAACCTCCAAAACCAGGACGAGGTGTTGCACCATGGTGTGCACTTGGATTTCAGGTATGTGCCATAAGGCACGAAAATGGTTTATGCATGCAAATGCATACAAGAAGGTGGTATGCACATGTGGAATACAATGAGTGCTATAATGTGACATGTTTTTTGTAACCATGAACTGGTGTGCACTTCGGTTGATTCGTGTGTGCCATTATTTTATCCACGAAGATGAGGTACATGTATTACACCTCAGTGTGCACTTGCTTTAGAACGCTGGTGCCATCACGAAGAGATTGAGAGTGTTCCTATTTCAGGTGT